TTAGGCAACACACATATAAGCAAGACGTGAATCCAAAAGTCTCAAAATGTTTATTTTAAATTAAATGAAAACAAAAATACAAGTCATCATGATTTGTGGAGCGCAGTAAAAGCAGTGCTTTGAGAGAAATGTACAGTATAAAGCATATATATTAGTGGAAAAGATCTAAAATCAATAATCTAAACTCTTACCATAGGAAAAGAGAGAAAGGAGCAATTTAAACCTGAAGAAAGCAGGAAAGAATCCTAGAAATGAATGAAACTGAAAGCAGGACCGTAACAGGAAAAATCAAGGGAATTAAAAGCACTACCTGGAAAAGATCAATATAATTAATAAATGAGAAGAGCGAAGACACGCATTACAAAACAGAAATAAAAACGGGACTGTCACAACGGATCCCATGGACATTAAGAAGAGTAAAGAAATATGAACAACTTGGTGCTCACAAACTTGATAACTTAGATGAACTGGACCAATTTCTTAAAAGATACAATCTAACAGAAATCATAAAATGCAAAATGACATTAATAAGTCTGTAATAAAGATATTGAATCAACAAATAACAACTTTGCCAAAAATGAAGTGCCAGGCCCAAAACTGGATTTCATGACATTGGCACGACCTCATGGAAGAGGTAAAGAGTATCTCATTTTGGTGTCAAGGGCTATGTTAAAAGAGGCAAGGGTAAAATCTACACTGCGCAGGACTGAGGGTACCTTGTAGATAACAAGAGAATGTGAGAGCACTGAGGGACTAGCTATGCGAGAGGGGGACGGTGCACTAAGAACCATTCCAATCCTGCCTAGGCTTCTGCTGCGGTAGCGTTTAGAAGCTAAGCAGACGGGCAGCCCCACATCCTACGAGGGGGTCTATTAAGCATGGACACAGCATCCAGTCACTTGTCACCGGATGGGGAAGAACCTCATCCTCAGCCAAGAGCTACACTGCAATGGCCAATTCTTGTATCTGAGCCCTCTCCCTGTAGTGCCTTCTAAACATCGTCCACATAAATAGCCAGCCCTTCCCACCCTGGGTTGCCCTTGCTTTGACATGTCAGGTACACCACCTTCTCGTCACAGTGCTTGCACAACAGACAACTTAAAGGTGGCACCACACAGCACAGCTTACTTCTTAAGCACCGTGGAATACAGACAAGCAAGTTCTACATCTAAAGCAAGTTCATGCCCTTCTCCTGACTGTGTCACCACCACTCATCTCATCACACACAAGGACCTCCAGTTCCCCCTCCATCTATCTCCAACACTCCTAGGACATTCACCTAAATGTGTTTGAAATGCTAAAATAAAATAACCCTGTGAGTGCTCCCATAAGCGGCACTGAAACAGTACTTGGAGCATGTACTTAGCAAGGGTTTTCGGAAGATGCAAATATGCTCTGTGTATGTGTAGTTCCTTATAAGGGAAAAAACCTAAAGGCATAACATTAAAATATAAATTACTGACAACAAGCTTTTGGAAGCAAGACAGATGGATTATATATGTTCATTAAAACTATCTAAGAATATTGCATCCTGATCATCTAACTTAATCCAACAACAGAACAGGAAGAATGAATAATGTCCTCTCATATTATCTTCAATTATCAACTGTGTCAACTCCACTTCTGTCAAGAATTACCTAGTAAGAACTACAAAGTTAACATTTTAAGCAAAATTCTACCAAACAATATTCTTTGCAGTCTTGCTATTCAATGTATTTTCGATCCAGCTATAGAAAGTCACTCACTCTGTGAGAAGATAGCCCACAGTTTCATTTCTTATTCTTATATCCAGTAGGAAGGATGAAATTTTCCTGTAGCTCCCACAAAAATCCTAAGTCTCCCTAACTTGCCTACGTAGGTCCTATGCACATGACTGATTAAGTCACTGTGACCAGAGCACTGGTCTTCTGAGTTTGGTTACATTTTCCATCTGAGACTAAGAATCCCCAGGGATCCAAAGGGCTATTGCTGGAAAATGGCTGATGGGATGTTGAGGGGAAGAAGTAAGAAATGTCCTCACTGAGAAGGAAACCAGTAATTTAGGAAGCCAAATAACATGCTAAAAACCAGACACCTTCGGAGTCTAGATGTGGACTCTGGATCCCTAAATTGAATCCAAAGTTCTACCACTATGCTATTGTGACACACTGCCACAGAAGAATCTTAAGGTACAAGAAGACCCTTACTTGCTTTCTAAACTCACCACCAATTAGAACATAAAACAAGGTTACAATATTTGTAGGAGAAGTTTGGGCTATCCTGTGCAGATTAGTCATGTAAAATTAACTTCAATATGAATTTAATTTGACCAATCAAAAATTTTAACCTGTTTTTAGTCCATTTTTACTTCAAAGTTGAAGTGGTCCATTTAGAAAATTTATTTCCACTAAGAAAAAAATAAGACTCTTAGGTGGAATTTAAGATGATCTTGTTCTGAGACCAGCAGATGGCATAACAGTAATGATGCTGGACTTCCACATAGCCCACCACAGTTTGCGTCCTGGACCTGGTGGCTTAAAATTCATGCTGGGCAGGTATGCATGTGTACCCAAATTCCCGAGAGGAGAATGGAGAAGGGATTATGGCATGTCTATCCCCCCTGGGGGGTGATTTCTTGCTTTCTGTCACTCCAGCAAGCACACACTCTCTATAGCAATAATCTCTCTAAATTTTTTTTTAATTATCTTATTTCATAGATACAATATAATTTATTCCAAATTTATGTAAATCTTTAGGTCCTTTATTATAAATCATTTCTCAATCTAACTTGGTAGCTTCTTTAGACCTTGCTTTTAGGGAAGGTTAAAAAAGAAAAAAGGAAGAAAGAGAAGGAAAGGGAGGAAAAGCAAGAAAAAAGATAAAAAGTCAACTACTTGCATTTTTTCTGTATTTTCAGCCAATAAAAGGACAACATAATCTTAACCAGCACAATAAATAACTAGCACAATAGGGACCAGCAGTTAGCGTAATGGTTATGTTGCTGGACTCCCACATAGTCGATTGTGGTTCAAGTCCCGGACCTGATGGCTTAAAACTCACGCCGGGCACATGTGCGTGTGTGCCCAGGATCCCGAGAGGAGAATGGAGGAGAAGGGATTGCGGCATGGCCATCCACCCTGGGGGGTGATTTCTCACTTTCTGTCTCTCTGTCTTGCTCTCTCAGGTGAGCACACACACCCTATAGCAAAAACCTCTCCAAAGGCAAATAAATAAACAAATAAAATAAAAATAACTACCACAATACTCATTTTAAAAAATCCTACTTATGGCCAAAATTTAGTGTGAGGGAACAGATTTAAGCTCTTAATCTAAAAAAAAAAAAAAAAAAAAAAAATCAGACAAAAAAATCAGATAAAATAATGGTTTTCAGACTTTGGATTGTAGGCAATGATCCTTATGAGAAGGAAAACTGTGAGCCAGGAAAGCATTTCCAAACCACAAACAGACCAAAACAGAATACTACAGAGGGAAGACCTTCAAATAAAAAACCTCACACTCCAGAGTGGGTTCAAGTCTCAGTGACCAATGCACGAATGTGGGGAAGCACCCAAGGTTAGGAATGGTGTCCCTGAAAGGATGCAGAACAGTTCTGAGCTCACAAGGGCTGGGAACAGGCCAAGTTCTCAACAATCAACAGCCACCAACCTGGGAGAAACTCACAGTGAATGAGGCCCCCGGGGAAGCACTCGATAGGGTTCTGCTTCAGCAATGAGAAAAAAATGGCCCTGTCCGCAAGCCTGGAAAGGAATATACCTGCTTCAAAGTAACTTCAATGTGTCACACACAAAACTTCAAATCACTTAAAGGCACAGGAACAAGCCAGCACCCAGCCATGTAAAATTCTCCAAGTCTGGCATCCAATTGAAAAGTACCAGGCACACAAAGCAATTCATAATGAGAAGAAAACTGAGTCAACACAAACAGACCAAGAGATTGCAGATGCTACAACAGCAAACATATTAGTGTAACTCAAGTCCACATTTTCGTCAAAGAAAAGGCTGAGGCAAAGTGAAATAAGCAAAGATCATTTATTCAGGCCAAAGCGAGGATGATCCCACGAGTCTACATTGGTCAAAGGCGTCTCGACAGCGAAGACCGGATAAACCGCAGGGGAGGCGCTGATCTCCGGGTCAGCATGGCCGTTCACACTGCACAATGGAAACAGCTCATGCTCAATGGTGAGGAAGTGATTCTCCTCGGAGGCAGGAGGGCTTGGGTGCCAGCCAGCTCCTAGGCTTCGTCCAGGTGTGCCGACGTCTTTCCACCTCGAGCCGTGGGGAGGAGCTGAAGACACCTGTTCTCTCGGGGCTGCTGCGGCTTAGTCCTTTCCCGAGTTTGGGGACAGCGAGGCCGGGCGGAGGAACATTGCAAGCTGGCCCCCTCGACATGCTGGGTCTGGGCTCTCGAGCTACCTCCCGGCCCTACTCGGGAAGACTGGGCTCTTTTTACGGAAGACAGGAGGAGACGCGCTCCGGGTTTTGGGCCATGAAAGCACCGCGGGTGGCACTAACAGGGCAATACTCCAAAGGGGCAGCCGACCACGACGCCGCAAGTGCAGCCCGAGCTCGAGCCGGGCGGGCGGCAGAGAAGCCGCTCGAGCAAGGCTGCCGGCGGGGCCGGGGGGGCG